CATGTTGGATGTCAGGCGACATCTAGCTTTCTACCCACACAGGACTAAGCCCTTTCAATCCTCACATCATCTGTTTGTGTCATGTGCAGACTGAATGAAGGGTTGAGCAGTCTTTCCAGATGATCTCCAGCTGGATAACTTCCTGCATACGAAGTAGCTTAGACTACGCCTCCTCCCCCAGACCTCCCCAGGGTGTGAACTCATTCTAGAAGAGCCCAGGCAACACTGATTGCACTTCTGAGTGACGTTCCCATTTTGGACATTTGCAGGGCTGCCACTTGGTCCTCTGTACATGCATTTATGAACCACTATACCATTACAACTGCATCCTGCTCAGATGCAGACTTTGGGAAGGCAATCCTGCAGTTCTTCTTTAAATAGACTTCGAGCCCTACCTCCAGTGGTTAGTGCTTGTGAGTCCACCTGCATGGAATACATGGCTGCATCTGTGAGAAGAAGAAAACAGTTACTTACTGTAACTGTTGTTCTTTGAGATGTGATTCAGATGTGTATTTTACAACCCACCCTCCATCGCCTCTGCATCAGTCTTTGCCTCTGACATTCGGTGTGAAGGAACTGACGGGGGGTCAGGGCAATGCCTCCCCTTATATAGCCAGGGGAGGGGCTAAGGCCATGAGATGCAAGGATTGCCTCTATGTGTACTGCTCGGCAAAGTTCTCTGGCTCAGAGTGTGTTGGGCGTGCATGCACCTACCTGGTATACACCTCTTCCTCACATCTCAAAGAATATCAACAGTTCCAGTAAGTAACAGTGTTTTACTGATGTCCATAAACCAGATCTCTCAACAGCTAGTCTGCATCTCATGGCTCTAACCTGGAAAAAGTCTTCCTCTTTGGTCATTTGCCATCTCAGTGGCTAGTTAGCAGAATTGTTACACAGATCCAGGCTGTTTGTTATGCAGTTGTTTTAAGGCCAATGTACAGGGTTTGGTTAACTTTGGATGGAGTAAGATAATACAACAGCCACCCTTTTCTGATATGTGAGCCCCCTGATAGAGCACTAGGGAAAGCAGGGAAGGATGTGTGCCCCCTGGACGTTTTCAGAGGTCAGATATGAAGTTGTCTGTCTTGCTGCCAGGATAGAGCAAACTACGAACCAAAGGAATACCCATGAGAGATTAAAATTGCCCTTTAGGGTAACTGTTTAGCCATCCTGCCATACTTTTTTTTGTTTTGTTTTGTTTTATCAGGAAAGTCTCCTCCCTCTTGTTTGGTTTGTCTATATTCAGAATGCTCCCTGAACTACACATGAAGCTAACCAAACTGAGATAGGTTGCATCATAAAGATGGTTGTAACTATGTCAGGAAAAAGAAAAGGAGTACTTGTGGCACCTTAGAGACTAACCAATTTATTTGAGCATAAGCTTTCGTGCATATAGCTATAGCTCACGAAAGCTTATGCTCAAATAAATTGGTTAGTCTCTAAGGTGCCACAAGTACTCCTTTTCTTTTTGCGAATACAGACTAACACAGCTGCTACTCTGAAATATGTCAGGAAAATTTCATTTAACTCCCACAACATACACACAGACATGTTGCTTCCAGTATGATGGCAGAACTATGCAGAAAGGAAAATTGGCAGAGCTACTACAGAACATAAGTATTAGTCATGGAGTGCTATTGAAAACTCAGGGTATGTCCTGCTTTGGCATCCTCTCCCAAATGGCTCTTCAGTTGGTTCCCTGATGCACAGTATCATTATGTGTTGGGGGAAGAAACACAAACCTATGTTAACATCTTAATTATTCATATGTGCCATGCACAAAATAGAAGTTAAGGTTAGTGTTTGTTAAGGGGGATGGGTGTGGGTTCACAAACACCTTTCTGTGGCTTGAAAATAACTTTTCCCAACAACCTTTGTCTCTTGCTGTTCATCAATGACTGTCATAAATTACCCAGAAGTGTAATTGTCTCAGCCAATCAGAATGTAGAGATTTTGTAGTTATTGGGCCACAATTCTAGACGTATTCCCTGCACTCCCCATGGCCAGCTTGCACAATACCTTTTGGTTATTTCTCAATAACCAGATAGCTTGAAAATCCCATTTGCCTGGCTCAGAGCCATTATTAGCCCATCAGAGTGCAGGTATTTTTATACTCACTGTGGTTATTTCTCAATAACTGCAGTTACTGTACAAATTGTTCTACCCTGGCTACTGCAGTATAAATCTCTTCTGTTATTGGCTACTGCCCCTCAAATTCCCAGTATATGGACTAAATCTGAAGTAACTCCATCACATTCCACAATAGACATGGCTGCATCAGCTTCTGATCCTTACCCATCAGACCTCATCCACTCATCCTTCCCCCTGGGTGAAACCTGAGTGCACCACACACATTGAGTAACTCCTCTGTACATTAAATTTAAGCAAAGATTTTCACATTTTGAACAATTCTCTAATGTTCCATTATTAAACCATATCTCCCAAACAGCTTAACCTAGAAACAATAAAATTAGTCTTATTCGTTATTCTTGGATGAAATCTAGTGCCTGGGACTATTTTATAAGGCCTGGATACAACATTTTGGAGTTATTCATCTTTGAACTTTGAACCTCTAATAGCAGTACCTAGCTCATGTATATTGCTTTTCCTCTTGATCCCAGAACCCTTTACAAAGGAGGTCAGTGGTCATCCCCATTTCACAGATGGTGAAACTGACTTTCTATGATGTTGAATGGCAGTGGAGAGGTTTTACAATTCATGAGGCTTCTCCCCATCATTCCATTCTCACATGCCTCTTCAGGTATGCTGGTGCCTACCGCTGGAGTCAGGGTCCAGAGTATTTTACCACCATGGGAAAGCTTGCTGAGGGTATTTTGTAACCCCATATCTAATTTTTGACCCTCATTCATGCCCCAGCAGATGAACAGATGAAGTTTACATGTGGTAGTTCAGTGGCAAATCCAAGTGAACATCTAGCTCACACTATGGATTTTAGCAAAATCAATAAGGGTCAAATCTTCAGCTGGTATAAACTGACATAACGCTCTTTGAGGTCAGTAGAGCTATGTTGATTTACACCTGCTGAGGATTTTATCCAGTGTGTTGAATATATGCATAAGGCAGTTGCTGTGAGCATTTCTTGCAACTTTAGTTTGCTAGCCCTACGTGGCGTGGGGGTGGAGAGGATAGGGACTCCACCGTTCTAATTCATTCTATAAATGTTGTCCTCCCAACAGCTCTGAAAAGTCCAGCTGCATTTCATGAACAGAGAAGGAGCTTGGAGCGCGCCAGGGTAAGAGAGTTTGTTCTTTCAAGTTTAAGGGAAATTGGGCTTGGGAGGGTATTTTCTGTTTATTACCCTGGAAATCCCATGTCTCTAAATGAGACAGCAAAGGATACGTCCAAATTCTGGAAGCACTATGTCACACATGCACCTGCATTTATGCATTTTTGTTTGCGGTGATGACTTCTCCCCCACTCTGTCTGGTCCTGACTAGGTTACTCCTGAGGGAATTCTGCGCCCAAAAATTAAAAATTCTGCGCACAATATTTTAAAATTCCGCAAATCTTATTTTTCAATAAATAAATATGGAGGCTCCGGCACGGCAGTGGGGAGCACAGGCTGCATGGAGGTGGGAGATCACTCTGCAGGTGCTCCCCCCACTCTGGAACACAGACTCAACAATGAGGCTTCACCGAACCCTGACACAGCTCAAGAACCGGGCCTCCCCTGGCTCTGCCTTGCAGGATCTAAGTGTGGAGGGGCTTAGTGTGGATGGATTCAGGTGTGAGGTGAGAGGATTCTGTGTGGGGTAATCTAGCAGCAGGCAGTTCACTGGGGGGTCGGGTGCAGGGGAATCTGGATGCACAGGGGTTCATTGCGGGGTTCCGGGTGCAGTGATAATGGAATTCTGCAGAGGGGTCCAGGTGAAGGTCTTTGGGGCTCAGCAGGGGGGTCTGGGTGCAGTTGGTTGGGGCTCAGTGGGGTGGAGGTCCAGGTGTGGGGGGCTCAGCAGGGTGGTCCAGGTGCAGCAGGGTGGGGCTCATTGGGGTGAGGGTTCAAGTGCAAAGGACTCAGCAAGGGGTGGTCTGGATGCAGGGGTGGGGATCCAGATGCTAGGGGATGGGGTTTGGCAGGGGGTCTGGGGGCAGGGTGCTCTATCTGCAAGGGGTGAAGTGCGGGGGAGGGGGTTTTTGGGTGTGGGGGGCTCAATAGGGGGGTTCTGGATGCGGGGTGGTGAGGCTTGGTGGGGGGGCGTCCAGATGTGCAGGGGTTGGGCAGATGGGGGAGCAGCTGCCCACACAATGACCCCTCTCCCTGCAGCTGAGGAGCAGTGGAGGCAGGAAACAGGGATGGGAGGCATGGAGCTTCCTGCAGCCTGGGGAGGTTTCTGGGTGTGGGTCTGCCCCAGCCCCATCTTGCAGGGGAAGAGCAAGTCCCATTTTCCCCAGTCCAGCTGGAACTAGTAGCTGAGCGCGGTGCAGGGTAGGAGCCACAAGCTGGGCTGTCCCAACTGTGCCCTCTCCCCCATCCCCTCTGCTGTGATTTACCTCTCCACCAGCTGCTCCAGGCGCCCAAAATGACATGCTCGTGCTGCTTGACAGGGATGCATGACTACTTTTGCGGCTTCCCTTTGCTTCCCCACAGAAAAATGACTTTCTGAAAGGGAAGCAAAGAAATCTGTGGGGGACATGAATTGTGCACATGCGCAGTGACACAGAATTCCCCCAGGAGTAAATGCCAGTTTAGGACAATGGTTCAAGTTTCCCCACACTCTTCTTTCTGGAGATCACCAGTATTCATAACCCCACGCACACCTGATGCAGCTATTTTTGTGACATATTTTCCACCCTTGGATGGCAATAGCCTAAGTATGTGTTGCTTCTTTTGAACCAAAGGATGTTACTTCTGTGCAGTGTGCACACTTTTGTTAGTCTGTAGTGCTCCCAGACCCTGGGCGTATCTTCCCTTTAAAACCAACAGCTTGATGGAGGAGATCCCAAATAGTCTTGGGTAGAGACTAAAAATCACAAACCTGTGGCTCTTGAGAAAGAGGAAGCCAAGAGTGAGAGAGAGGCACCATACTTCATGTTGTAGCTGCTTGTACAGTGGAGTTTCTTGGTGATTTCAGTTCCCCAAAAGGCCTCTGGGGAATGTTCTTCAGAACAGCCCACAGGGGAATGGCGCCTACTCAGACACTTGGGCTGAGTTTTATTTCAAAAGTGAAAGCAATGCAAAATTAGAGAAATGACACCTCTGATGGAACATCCCAGACAACACCACCACTGCAAGCTTTCTGAAAAGACTGAAACAAGTACCACTATCTTAGATTTGGTTTGCTTGGAGAGCAGCATCCCCTTGGCTGTAGATTCCTCCTCCTGTTTCTTCTAAAAATTAATTGTTAAATTACTTTTTGGGTTTGGCAGTGGGTGAGTGCATTTTTATGTTTGGAAAAAAAATGGTTATAAAGCCTCCAACGGGTCCATTCCTGTGGTCTGCACTTATAGTTCTGCTACCCATTGACCCTAGTCTCCCTTTCCCTGGGCTTTCTGGGAGTGCAGAGTAGGAAGCATGCAGAGTTGTAGTGGGGTTTGCCCAGGTCCAGCTGGTCAGAGAAGTAGACAGCGTCTTCAGTTTAACTGCTCCATTTGTTGTAAGTTCCACTGTGTGCCCAAATCATGACCCAGCTTCCAAATCCCAACATTGCTTTTGTGTGCATTACTCTGCAAACAGTTGACCCAGTGCTCAGCATCATAAACAGAAACCCATTGTCTTGAGTCTCTCACCTTGAAGGCTGACACTGACTTGGTCTGGCAGTATTGTGTATGGAAAGAAAGGGGTTTGGGTCTTCGAAGTTCCTGCTTCCTGCCATTCTGCTGAGGACTGGCAGCAGCTGCATCCTTACTCTTCTTTCTTTCAGGGATGGGATGAAGAACAGCAGGCAGTCCCTTGGATAAACTGGTCCTGTGTTTGAGGCTCTAAATACTATAAGATCTTGAAGGGAATATATCCCCTTCTATGTGCAGTTCATTTCCGTCTCAGTAACAACAAAAGAGGGATTTAAAAAAGCCAAATACCCAGTGCTTCCCAGGCCTATCCTAGGCTATGTCTGTCCACTTAATTTCATTGCATTCTTGTCTGTCTTTGCTGCAGACAGAGGACTATCTGAAACGGAAGATCCGGTCCCGGCCAGAGAGATCGGAGCTGGTCAGAATGCACATTCTGGAAGGTAGGCACACTTTGAAGAGAAAAACTCCAAATGTGGTGTGATCTACAACAAGCACTGACTCTCTCCATACATATTTCATATTCTCTGTGTGTATATAAAGTCTGCTGCAGTTTCCACGGTATGCATCCGATGAAGTGAGCTGTAGCTCACGAAAGCTCATGCTCAAATAAATTGGTTAGTCTCTAAGGTGCCACAAGTACTCCTTTTCTCTCCATACAGTTACTAGCTTGAGACAGTTACTGTCCACCCTCGCCCAAACCCTTATTCAGCTGGGAGTGGGCAGACGATCATGCCAGTTGCATAATACCGGAGTGGGTGAATGCATTGTGGAGGGGGGTGTATGAGATCAGGGATCTCCCCAGTGAATGAGTCCAGAAATCATCTAATCAGGTCTGCTATGTTTAAGGCTGCCTTAGTTCTATGGCTGTTTAGGAAGGACTCATCTGCTTCTCACATGGCTTATTTGGTCTACAGAGAGATCTGCCATGTGAACCCCAACTGTGCAGAACCATTAGTTCAGGCTGAAGGATGGAGCAGTGGGGTGTGTGTGCTGACTGTTCTGCTGACCAGAGAAGAATTTGTTTAAAATGCCCAAAGGTGTGAGGCAATGGAAGGTTCAGCTGGCGAGTGTGTGGCCAATTTCAGGGTCAGGGAGGGAATGGCATACTCCATATATAAGGATACAAAGCAAGGAGGAAAAGATGAACATGAATTGAATGACACCAGTTTGAGTGGAGGGAGCATCTCCCATCCAGCGTCAGAGAGCAAGGCTCTTTCCTTCCTGAATGGAAGCATAGTAATGTCAGCATGCTCACATTAGGCACCCCAGGATTGATCCCATCTTATTTACTTCTTTCCTGTCCAGAGACCTCAGCTGAACCCTCCCTGCAGGCCAAGCAGCTGAAGCTGAAGAGAGCAAGACTGGCAGACGACCTCAATGAGAAGATAGCCCAGAGGCCAGGTCCCATGGAGCTGGTGGAGAAGAACATCCTTCCTGTGGAGTCCAGCCTGAAAGAAGCCATCATTGGTAAGTGTGGTAAGGGATGTGTATTTCTGGGGAGGTTCTCAGGTAACACATCCTTTTGCCCTGTGGGAAAAAATACCATGAGATTTCATTCCCATGCCAAAACTTCAGCCTCTCCAGTCCCAGGATTCTGGAATGCAAAGCTCCCTTCCCAGCCTGGATAGCGATGGAGAGAGATTAGATTATAAGGAATGCTGGGCTCACAGAATAAAATGAAATTGATCCCCAATCCCCAGGACTGATGAACCATTGTGGGATTGTGTTTCCTAGTTTGTGCATGCCCTCTCTTCCTGAAAATCCCTCTATCTTTAACCCTTTGTGAGAGAGAACCCACTGACTAAGTCAGATCAGGGAGGGAAGACAGCACATGGGTGAGCAGATGTGTGGAAACAAAAGCTTTCTGTTGGTTTAAAATCTTCAGAGGATTCAACTCCTTTGAAAATAAATAGGAATGGATGTAAATCATTCCAGTGCCATTGCAGGGGTGAAAAGGAATGCTGAGGAATAGCCCTCCCACAGCCTGAGTGTATTACCCCACTCCTAATTAGGCAGGCTGTATGAAGCATAGCCGCACCCTGCTGAAGCATGGGCAGTCACTGAAGGAATTGCCACCTCCTTCAGAGACTAATGGAGGCATGCTCATGAGCAAGGGTGCATACATTTCAGTGAGAGGTGCCAGGCTGTGGTAGGAGCGAGCCTGGCTTCATCCTCACACAAGAATTGGTCAAGGAAGAGAGGAAGAATTATCTTGTGGTTAAGAAATGGTCCGTCCGTCCATCCATCTGTCTATCCCCACACATCCCTCCATTTTGGGCTTGAGAGATTTGGGGTCAATTGCTGGCTCTTTGGGCACATCACTTAATTTCTCTGTGCCTCAGATGGTCATCTGTAAAATGGGGATGATCATACTTCCCTATTTCACAGGGGTGTCTTGGGGATAAATTAATGTTTGTGGGACAGACAGATACTATGGTTGGAGGGCGCCATATATGTACAGATATAAGTCTGAGGAACAGTTAGGGCCACCTCTTGTGATTGACCCTTGCGCTTTGTGTCTGGAAAAAGAGAGTAGAGAACATCTGGGATCCCAACTAAAAGAGACCCTCAACACCTCCTTTGAGGAGGAAGATCCTTCCTCCTATCCTATATCATGCAGCTGGCCAACACTAAAGAAATCATTACTTGAGACTAGACAATGCAAACTAACACACAACCTTCCTAATTGAGAAGCCACCAAACCAAGTCCCCAGTGCCCCTTGTCATGTGCCATTGCCCTGGATTCCTCTCAGTCAGCCTTTAGGCCTCAGGGTATGGTATAAGCCGACAGCTCAGCGCCCTCCCCCACCTCCCACTGGCCAGTGGTGACTGTAATCCCATTCAATGTTTGAAATTATCTTTTGTTTTCAGTTGGGCAGGTGAACTACCCAAAAGTTGCGGATAATTCCTCTTTTGACGAGGACAGCAGTGATGCCTTGTCCCCAGAGCAGCCAGCCAGCCATGAGTCCCAGGGATCTGTACCATCACCAATGGACGCTCGGATTGGTGAGCCGCTTCCCAGCACCACTGTGTCATCACCAGCTCAGGTAAGAATGCTGTGTTGACTTTTGCTGCTCTCTGGGACCTCAGAACCCTTATTAGATTGGGGCAGTGCAAATGCCTGGATCCCTGAATGAGGGATGAGGCATAGAGACATCTACAAGGTGTCATTGCTAAGAGACTGATTTGTTCCTCAGTAATTCATTAATGAGATATCACTGAAGTCACATGAGATGTCTAGGTTCTAAATGGTACCAGCAAAACCATGTGTCTGGTGCCCCTGTAGGTAGATGCAGTGGGAAGCTTCCAGTGATTCCCTAGAAGTAATAGGAGAGGGCACCTAGTTGTGCCCTGTTGAGGATTGGTAGTGGGAATGGTTTTGGCAATGCCATGTATGTTAAGAGTATGTGACTGTTCCTGGGAGGCAAAGGGAGGAGAGGCATAGAGTTAGAAGTGGGCTTTGATTCCTTCCTTCTTCTAGGATGCTTTGATCCCACTGAAGCATGCTTCTCCCCAAGCTGGATAAGGGGATCTCAGGGAGTGGATTAAGAAGCCAGGTGGCCATTTAATGGCTGGTAACCTGTGCATAGCAACTTGAGTGGAATGCTCCTACAGCCCTCTGCTTTCTGAAAGGAGGGCAACATTGTAACAGTGGAGAGGAAACTTTTAGCTGTGTGTCTGTTTCTTGAGTGATGCTCTTTCTTCCCCTTGCAGGTTGTGTCCCAGTTACAGATCAATGCAGATGCCAATGAAACACCTTTCCTACCTGAACAGCCACTCCCTCCTCTTCCACCACCACCTCTGCTGCCTCCAGGCTTCACCAACAGAGCCACTATTCCTGCTGCCAAGCCCCCACCAACGCTCATTAAGGTATGGGGAGGAGGGATGTCACTCCATTTTTATAGACTAATAGAAGTTAATGTGGCTGTTCTGGGGATGATAGAGAGTGGGAGTGTTAGACTAAGATGCTGAGGCACTGGAAGAACATCTTGCATCATTCACTGTCTCCCCCTGGTCTCTACTTAGAGGACCTTCCCTGAGCTTGAGCTGAATCAATGTCTAGATCTTCTTCAGTTAGAGAGGACTTGTGGCACATTAGAGACTAACCCATTTATTTGAGCATAAGCTTTCGTGAGCTACAGCTCACTTCATTGAATGCTGTAGCTCACGAAAGCTTATGCTCAAATAAATTGGTTAGTCTTGAAGGTGCCACAAGTACTCCTTTTCTTTTTGCGGATACAGACTAACACGGCTGCTACTCTAAAACCTTCAGTTAGAGAGGAGCTCATTGAGACAGGGATTAGGTCAGGAAGGTGTCTCCCTCCTTCCAAACATATTATAGTGCAGTTGCCAAGGGTCCTAGATATAAAAGTTTCCTCCGAAGCATCTAGCATTGACCATGGTCAGGGAGAGGGAGTCTGAGCTAATTGTTCAATGGTCTGTTGCGCTGTGGCAATCCTTCTTGTCTCTCTACCCTTGTTCCGGTGCTGTGTAAGGTCCTGGAGGTAGCCGAGCTGCTGAGTTTGTACGATTATCCCTGCTTTAAGAATGTGGAAATGCCCCAGAGTCAAATCTGGAGAGAGTTTTGAAGTAAAAAGCCTGGTTTGCTTGTAGGTTTTGGTTAGATGTTAATGCTGTTCCAGTGCATCTCCTACATCTATTTTTATTTTCTTCCTTCCCTGCTTCTCTCATTGAATAGCAAAGTCAGCCCAAGTCTGCCAGCGAGAAGTCTCAGCGCAGTAAAAAAGCCAAGGAACTGAAGCCGAAAGTCAAGAAGCTTAAATATCACCAGTACATCCCCCCGGACCAAAAGCAGGACAAAGGGGCTCCCCCCATGGACTCCTCCTATGCCAAAATATTGCAGCAGCAACAGCTCTTCTTGCAGCTCCAGATCCTCAACCAGCAACATCAGCAGCACTACAACTATCAGACCATCCTGCCAGCCCCACCAAAGTACGGGCCCCCCAGCACTACCCCTTCTTAGGGACCCCCTGCCCTCCCACCCCTGCGCATGGTCTCCGGGAGCGGCACAATAGCTACCAGACCATCCTATCGGCCCTGCCAAAGGGCGGGACTTACTGCACGCTGCCCACAATCCTCCCCTGTCTCTCCCCACCCCTCGTGAGGGTCTCACTCCCTTAGTAAGTTCATCAGGTCCCAGGCACGCTGAGCTCTGAAGGGGTGAGGCATAGGAGTTGTAAATCCTGTAAAGTCACTGTCGCTCTCAAGAAGTGGTCTGTGTTGGGTGAATCTGTCAGGCAAGAGCAGCTGAAGTTAGTTGGTTTTTCAGTGGCCAGAGTGGAGTATCTCGGTACAGTGAGAAGGTATTTACTGGCATGCTGTAACACT